CCAAATTGTGTTCCACAGAATACATATTCCTAAATGTTCGTAGGTGGACCTTGAAAAAAGGGATTCTATGATCAAGTCGGTTTGAGAAGGGCAGCACACACTCTCCCTTTTGGAGAATCCAAATGCACATTAATAAAGTTTTCACCCAGCCAGCATGGCTCAGTGGTTGAGTGTCAACCTGTGAACCAGGAGGTCACGGTTCAATTCCCGGCCAGGGCTCATGCCCCGGTTTCAGGCTGGATCCCCAGTGGGGGGCGTGCAGGAGGCAGCCGGTCAATGATTCTCTCTCATCATTGATATTACTATCTCGCTCTCCCTCTTCCTTCCTCTCTGAAATCAACAAAAATATATTAAAAAAATAAATTAAAGAATAAAGTTTGAGACACCTCTTTGAGGTGGAGACATCAAGTAGGCAGTGGGAAGGTGGGTCTGGATTTCAGGGACAAGGTTGGAGTTGGATACATAGGTTTGCAATTTAACATGTTTAAAACCATGAGAGCAGATGAGATGTCTCAGGAGAGAGCTTAGAAGAAATAAGAGTATGTGAGGTCTGGCGGTGCCGTAGCTCGCAGGTGACCGTGAGGGGAGGACCTAGGATGGAGCCAAGACTCGGAAGATGGCATTGCTGAGCCAAGTGACCAAGAGAAACCAGGATACTGTTGGCCATAACTCAAGCCACTAAAGCTGACTTTACCATTGTACTTTTCAGCTACAATGCCAGTAAATTCTTTTTTAAGTTTTTATGTCATATCTCATGGAAAGAGTTCCGACTACTAGGACATTTCCCAATCTCTTTTGCACACGTATCTCTGTCTCCTCCTAGCCTCTGCTTCCCCATCCGCTTACCTGTCATGGAGGAGAATCAGCTGAACCTAAGATGTCACCCCCACCTCGAGGTGCAAAGGGAAAGCACGACTTGCCCCAGCCAGTGTCGGTTGTCAACATTTCAGGCATGAGTGGAGGAATCAGTTAAGAATTGGTTAATATGGTTAAGGATTTTATTTTTACTTTTGGGTTGTTGGCAACCAACCAAAACCGACTCTGGCTAATTTAAGTCAAAGAGGGACTCTATTGGATGATTCACTAGGCTGCCCCACAAAATCAGAGACAGAGCTGAGCAAGCTGCACAACAGACTGGAGAAGGGAGGAGCCAGAGTCGCCTGGGGGAGCCTCCCTGGGCTCTCACCAAATCCCTCTCTGGGCCATTTCCAAATGGTGCGACCACCAGGCCAGCGCTCTCGGTGTTCAACCTGGAGATGACCAGGACAGAGAATAGACTTGAGGGGCGACAGGGTAAGGCGAGGAGGGAGAGAAGGCAAAGGCCTTTGGCCCTGGTTCCTGCGAGTGCACTCTGCATATCTGAGAGGCTTGGGGACTGGCCAGGAAGGGTCTGCTGTAACCTCTGAGGAAGGAGCCACCCCTGGGCCTCTCCAGGTTGCCTGCGGCCTATAGGTGATGAAGAATAACCTCTGGGTCCAGCTGGCGTGGCTCCGTGGTCGAGCATCGACCTACGAACCAGGTCACGGTTCGATTCCCAGTCAGGACCTATGCCCCGGTTGCGGGCTTGATCCCTAGTGTGGAGTGTGCAGGAGGCAGCCGGTCAATGACTTCCTCTCATCATTGATGTTTCTCTCTCTCTCTCTCTCTCTCTCTCTCTCTCTCTCTCTCTCTTCCCTCTCCCTTCCTCATTGAAATCAATAAAAAAGAAAATTAAAAATAAATAAAAAGAATAACCTCTGTGGGCTTCAGTGCTCTTAAGGCCCAGTGAGTGCACCTGGGGAAAGGCTTCCTTCAGTGCTTTTGGTTTTCAGGCCTCATGCTGTCCCAGATTCTCTCCAGGTTGGTCTCTCTGACATCTTTACTCTATATATTTTTTCTTTCCTTAGTGTGTGCTTTCAGCCTTAGGAAACCTCCCTTTCACTCTACTTTCTCTTCTCCTCAAAGTTCCCACCCGCTATAGCCTGAGTGTTCGTCCCCACTCCCCAACTCATATGTTGAAAATGAACCCCCCATGTGATGGTAATAGGAGGTGGGGGCCTTTGGTAGGTGTTAGGTCATGAGGGTAGAGCCGTTATGAGTGGGATTAATGACCCTATAGAAGAGGCTCCAGAGAGATCACTCGCCCCTTCTGTCATGTGGGGTTATAGTGAAAAGATGGCTGTGAAGTGGGCTCCCACCAGACACCAGATCTGCTGGTACCTTGACCTTGGACTTCCAGGCTCCCGAACTGTGAGAGACAAATTTCTGTTATTTCTAAGCCACCCAGTCTGTGGTATTTTTTATAGCAGTCAGAACAGACTAAGACACCACCCTTTAAAAAAATGATTCTTATTTTAAAAATAATCTTTATTATTAAAAAATAATTATTCAGTCCTGGCCAGGTAGCTCAGTTGGTTAGAGTGTAGTCCTGATATGCCATGGTTTCAGGTTCTATGAATGCATAAATAAGTGGAACAACAAATTGCTGTTTCTCTAAAAAATCAATTTAAAAAATTTTTAAAAAGTATTCAAATAGTGCCAAAGATTTTTCAATGCAGTCTTTTCCCTGTGCTACTTCTTATCTCTTGCAGGAAGCAATTACTATCAGTGTGCTGTGTATCTTTCCAGATGTAAATAGCCTATGTTTATGTCTCTATATACAAACCCAGGCTATTTTATTTGTAAACACAGAAGAGCAGATCATACACACTGTTGAGTACCTTTCATTTTCTGCTCAGTGATGTGTTGCTCATATCAAAACACATCTGTCTCACCCTGGCCGGTGGGCTTAGTGGTTAGAGTGTTGACCTGTGGACTGAAGAGTCCCGGGTTCAATTTAGGTCAAGGGTATCTACCTGGGCTGCAGGTTCATTCCTGGTTGGGGTGGGTAAGGGAGGCAACCAATTGATGTCTCTCTCACATTGATGTTTCTCTCTCTCTCTCTCTCTCTCTCTCTCTCTCTCTCTCCACATCCCTTTCTCCCTTCCGCTCTCTAAAAAATCAATAGGAAAAATATCCTTAGGTGAAGATTAATAAAAACAAACAAACAAACAAACAAAAAAAACCACTCCTGTCTTATTCTTTTTTATGGCTGTGTAGTCTTCCACTCTGAGGCCCCCACTGATGGGCAGGCTTTTGCAAATACAAATGATACTGCAGTGAACACCTCTGTAAAGGGTGTCTCAAAATTCACGCAAGAAGTAATTTTGATAGAAAGCACAGGTTTATAATTAAAAATTGTAAATTTTTTATTGATTCAGAAAGTATACAGTATAGGGTTATGTATGGAATAGCACATCGGGTAAATGGCCTCCACGGCTTTGCTGGCATATACGCAAAGCTGTGGTCTTCATTGGTCTTCATTGTCCCGGCTCCTGGGCCATAATTGGTACTTGGTAATGCTTATCAAATTGAAGGGATTGAAATCAAAGGGCAACAGATATTAGAATCTGATTCAATAAACCAAGTAAAATTAGGCTTTTATTTATTTTTGTTGTTGTTGTTAATGCTCACGCAAAATTCAAATCTTGCGTGAATTTGGGGACACCCTTTACATGTGACTTCAGGCACCTAAGTAAGCACATCTGTCAGAAACAGCAGTGCTTTCTTTTTTTTTTTTTTTTTATTGTTTAAAGTATTACATATGTCTTCCTTTTCCTTGATTGACCCACCCCTCACAACAGTGCTTTTTCCCCCAGAGTTATCAAAGCTTTGTTCTTCCAGTTTCCACCAGACTTCCCAGGCATTGCCCACACTGGCTGCCTCCTCTTGTTTGTTTCTTTGTTAATCCTCACCCGAAGATATTTTTCCATTGATTTTTAGGGAGAGTGGAAGAGAGAGGGAAAGACAGAGAGAAACATCAATTGGTTGCCTCCTGAACGAGCCCTGACCAGGGCCTGGGCTGAGGAGGAACCTGCAACCTAAATACGTGCCCTTGACCAGAATCGAACCCAGGACCCTTTGGTCTGAAGGCTGACGCTCTATCCACTGAGCCAACTCGGCTAGGGTGACTGCCCCCTCTTTCTCTCTACTCTCTAAATATCTACAATATGGTTTCTATCCGCTGACGCACTCAGAGGCTACCAATGACCTTAGCGTTTCACCTCTGACTTTTCCATAGACTTTGACCCTCACTACTCATCCTGTCCTGAAACTCCCTTTTTGCCTGGCTGTTTTGGTGAGATAATCTTTGTCCTCCTCTTTCTCTAATCATGCTTCTCCTGTGTCCTTTACCTGCCTTTCAAAAGTCCCATTTGACTGGAGCTTGAGGGAGTGGAACCTGCTGGGACAGCCCTTTCAGCTCCTGGCTATCCCACACAGGCTTCTGCCTGGACCCCAGAGGAATGTAAGGTTTTGATCAATGTCCAAGTCCAAACTCTCCTCAAGGCTCAAGTCCTTCATTAAAAAAAAAAAAAAAAGGTGCTAGTCCGGCCAGTGTGGCTCAATGGTTGAGCATCGATCCATGAACTAGGAGGCCTTGGTTAGATTCCCAGTCAGGGCACATGCCCGATCCCCAGTAGTGGGCATGCAGGAGGTAGCCGATCGATGATGTTTCTCTCTTATCGATGTTTCTATCCCTCTCTCTTCCTCTCTCTCTCTCTAAAAATCAAGAAAGGAAAAAGAAAATTAAAACTACTCCAAACATCTTTTCCTTCAACCCTCAGGCCAGTTAGCTTTTACCCTAGACTTCCCTCTTTCGGTCAGAGTTCTGGAATTCTTCCTAGGTTCACAACCTGGTAGATGTGCTTGACACCCCTTTCCCTCGTTCACTTTCCATCAGTGCCGACTATGTTTGGGGTTCCATGCGTGAATTTTGATCCCCTTTGTTAGACTTTATGTTTTTAAGGGGCACAGGCTTTGTCTTACCTAGCTCCCTGCGGCCTGTCACACAGCTCAGCTCATAAACAAATGCACCAAATATGGTTATAGAACCTTCTGCCTGGTGCCTCAGGCCTGTCTATATCTTGCAACTGTCACCTGGCTGAGACATTGTCACTATAAATAAGCAGTTTCTGTTTCAGGTACGGCTTGCCCTTGATATTGACACTCCATCTCTTACCCCACCCAAGCCTCACACGACGAAACGGGAATTAGAGTTGGTATTCAAATCTTTGGCCGCGGTACAGAGAGGCATCCCTATAAACACAGAGCCATCGATGTGAGCTTCTTTTATTTCCTCGAAGTTGTTCGACGTGGTAGCTGCTGTCATTCCACTTGCTGGGGAATTCTTGAAGAGATTTTGCTTGTCTTTCCATGCGGTCCTCTGTGTGGTTTCTTTGTTTCTTTTTGTGATCAAGTTCCAGATGGCTCAGCAGTGCCCTCAAAATGAATATTTTGACAGATTGCTGAATGCTTGCAAACCGTGTCACCTTCGGTGTTCTAATACCCCTCCTCTCATATGTCAGCGTTATTGTAATACAGGTAAGTACTACTGCTTGAACAATTATTCGTTGGTGTGAAGTATTCTCTCTATACTAAGTGTTTATTCAAAGAATAAACATTACAGGGAAGGTGGTGAGATTTTCTGAATCCAAAAAGAGAAAGGTAATGAGGTCGTTATTTAAATGCCAACAGGAATAATTACTCAGAGCTGAACTCAACTTGATGCAGCTCTGTTAGCAACCCAGTATTTTATCAGCTCTTCTAATTAAGTGCTATTTAGAATTGGAAAGTCAATGCTGATGAATTAGGGGAATTGGATAGCAAATAATCTTTACTTGATGTAGATGTTATCGGTTCATTCTCTCTCTCTGACATTTCTTTTAACTCAGTGAAAGGAACAAATGCCATTCTCTGGACCTGTTTGGGCCTGAGCTTGCTGCTGTCTTTGACAGTTTTCGTGCTGATGATCTTGCTAAGGAAGATGAGCTCCGAACCATCAAAGGACAAATTTAAGAGCACAGGTTAGTTTGGTGGCCAATCTTAGAAATCTGTTTCCCAGGGGTGGCTTTTGCGAGTTTCAGTTCCTCTTTTTTTTTTTACACTGAAGATTTCATTAGGTTGGAGCCCTTTTGAGTGTGTCAGAGGACAGATACGTGAAATGCACTTCTCTCCTGTGTTTGCACCTTCTTTGCAGAGGTCCTAGTGTCAGCCTCCTCCCATGTTCTTCCCTTGAAAATCACTCTTTTGAATTACTGAGGCTTTCTTGGGAAACGTCCATCTTTTTGATCAAAGTTCACACATTGACTAAATGTCACTGCTAGCCAGGTCTGCTCTGATCAGGAAAGGTGTATTCGGCACGATCCGTGGCCACGTTTTTAATACGAATATGTGTTATTTGCTTGGGTGAACATTTTACTGCTGAAAAATGTTAGAACTGCATAGCCAGTTGCTCCTGGGTTACATAAGCAATCATCTCAAAGATTAGCATCTTTTTAATCAGTAGAGAACCGGTCCCAGAGGACTGAATGTTCCAGAGAAGTGATTGTTCCTTCACACCCTCAAGGTCTGAAGGGCTTCTTAAGATAAAACTACTTCTGCGGCTCCTTTGCTTACTATCTGATTCCCAAACACTCTGTAGCCCCTGCCCTGTTTCTTCCTGCATTTTTGTGCACAATCTGCAAAGCATCCACCTTACTCACTTTCCTGGGCAGGAAGGAGAGGTGAATGGTTGTCCTATATAATTTACTCATTTTTATTTTTGTTTTGCTTGGAATTTGAGGAACAGGTGGGGAAAGATGTCTAAGTCTGATGTTTTGGAAGGTGGAGTTATACTGTGGAAGGCTGAGGAAATAGTAAAACATCTTCACAGGCATATGGTGGGGGCGTAATGGAGGCTCCTTCCTTATGTCATCATGGAGAGTCATTAAAATTTTTTAATCTGACACAAAACGTAAAAAGAGAAGCATCTTTACTTTGAATTCTAACGTGTTACTATAGGCTGATTTTGGTGTGCTGTAACATATGGTAATTTGTGTAAAATAAGATCGAGGCCAGTCTAGATTTGTATGTAAAATCACTTGATTTTTAAAAATACTTTTATTTTTTTAATTCAAGAGCGAGAGCGAGCGAGTGAGTGAGAGAGAGACATTGATGTGAGAGAAACATCTATTGATTGCCTCCCACACACCGGGAATTGAACCTGCCACCTCTTGGTGCACAGACGAGACTCCTACCACCTGAGCTACACCGGCCAGGGCAATCACTTGATTTTAAAATGTGGGTCAACATAAGCAAACACGTAAAAACACTCTATGCCCTACAGCATGTCTTTGAGCCTCTTGTGTCCTGTGGCCTGTTAGTTCCTGGCTTCTAGTGTAGGACATACTCATTGGTTTTATAGGAGAAGATCTGTCTGGCACGGCTTTCAGCCTGAGGTGTACTGCTAAGACTGTCACAACCACATGCCCTGGGAAGTTCAGGTTAACTTTTCTGTTTCTGTGTAATCAGGATCGCCTCTCCAGAATGAGGCGAATGCTGACCTGGATGATAGAAAAGCTAGCAGGACCGGTGAGGAAATTCTTTCCAGAAGCCTGGAGTACACAGTAGAAGACTGTACCTGTGAGGACTGTGTCAAGAGTCAACCAAAGGTCGATTCTGACCATTTCTTTCCACTGCCAGCAATGGAGGAAGGCGCAACCATCCTTGTCACCACGAAAACGAACGACTACTGCAGGGGCCTGCTAGCTGATGAGAGTCTCACAAGGATGGAGAAATCCATTTCCACCAGATAATTAACCATTTGGAGTGATGCAGAGCTACTTTGAAAATGTTGTCAGAGGAAAGGATGGGGTATCAGGTGTCTTTAGGATGATTGTTATCAGTGGCCGATAGAGCTTTCTGTCCCCTAATTCTAGAAAATCATTATGTTCAATATATTTCTCTACCTTACTGTTGGGAGCTTAACTGTGGAAACTTCATTGGTTTCAATGATTAAATTCTTGACTCACTGAAAAAAAGGACTGCAATGTGTAGATCCCATAGTGACGCCTTTCTGCGGCTGGACCACTTCCCTCCTATACATGCACATATGCACTTCAGAACAATTGAATTTTTCTCTTTATGGTTAAAGGCAAGCAAGGTTATTTTGTGTACTTCTGTAGATGGGAGAAGCCTAGAGTCAGTCGTGCTAATTCAGTGTGCAATGACCTTGTGAGTTTCCAGTCTACTGGAGGCCTCAGGCATTATTATAATCATATAAATACGGATCGAATTACAAACGGCGATTAAAGTTTACTAGGTATAATTTTCAGACCCAAATGCAGGTAATAATGATCGCTACCACTTACATCGTTACTAATGTGCAGGGACTGTTCTAAGTGCTTTACCTGTACTAACTTATGTAATGCATACAATAAACTACAAGGTGGGTGGACCACCATCATCTCCATTTTACAGATTATGACAGAAACTGAGGCAGAGCAAAGTAACATAGCCAGTAAATGGCAAAGCCATGATTTAAACCCAGACATCTTGATCTTTTTCTTTTTTTTTCTCTTCACATCAACTTAGTTCCATTTCCGAGTTCCCCATCTGTTTGGGTTACAGTCTTAGTCATTACAGGGCAGTGATGGCGAACCTTTTAAGCTCGGCGTGTCAGCCTTTTGAAAAATCCTAACTTAACTCTGGTGCCGTGTCACATATAGAAATTTTTTGATATTTGCAACCATAGTAAAACAAAGACTTATATTTTTGATATTTATTTTATATATTTAAATGCCATTTAACAAAGAAAAATCAACCAAAAAAATGAGTTCGCGTGTCACCTCTGACACACGTGTCATAGGTTCGCCATCACTGCTATAGGGGGAGGGTTCCTCTTCTGGGTTGTGCAAAGCTCCTCATGGAAAGGCTATGCAACAGATGCTGCACTGTGATAATCGATTGACTTTGATCATTAAGATGCCCACTGGCGCCACAGCATAGATCTTCAAGGTCTTGGGGCTTTTGTGTCAGGATGGGGATATGGGGAGCCTTGGCGGGATCTTTTTACCCATTTGGGGCCCATCATGGCTCCATTTCAGGCCCTTGAGGGGCCAAAGGAGACAAAACAGTATAGTGGTTAAGGCACTGGCTCTTAGAGCCCGACTGCCTGGGTTTGAATCCTGGCTCTGTTAGAAGGTGATGACTTGGGTGACTATAAGGAAGTTACTTAACTACTCTGTTACACAAACACACACATTTTCCCCCCATAAAAGTATCTGGTTCATAATACACAATTTGGTTCGTTACACTGCTATGATTTTTATTAGTTCCTTTGAGGTCGAGTCTCTCTGAGGGCAGGCACACACTCCTTTACTATTATATTGCTCCTAGCTGCTCCTTATCCCCTCACACCCAGTATAACCTCCTCAATGAATTTAGATTTTTCAAAAGTTGATGTTAGGCTTTTGATTCCTGGTCTTCCAGGACCAGGGTGAAGTCTCGGGAAGAAAGAATGATAACACTTCGAGGGGATGGTTGGTGGTAGGAAACATTAAGCACACGCTACAATTTCAATAACATATCCTGCATCAGGTGATGTGAAGGAAAGGTGCAGGGTGCGATGAGAAAGTATAACACAGCATCCTCGTCACAGCTCCATGAAACAGGTATGTGATGGTCTACCAAAGGTTACAAGGGGTAGGCAGACCTAAGCTAGGTTTTCTAGGGGAGGATGCAGTCACATCCACTCTTTAACTAGAATAACGAAGGAGCAACTGCCAAGTATAATTTTGAAAATGGAAAGCAACCCCACCAAGGAGACACACAGTATTTTCAACTACAGTTGAAATATATTAGTTTCAAATATACAACATAGTGATTAGACATTCAGATAACTGACAAAGTGATTACTCCGATTCGTACCCATCTGACAACTATTTTCATGTTTAAATTCTCCCTACACATGGCTGTATTTTGACAAAATTATCATCATGGTGTGTACAGACCATTTTGCATGGGGCTTTTTTAAACTTAATGTTTTATCAGCGGCCTTTCCCACTTTCTCATAATCTTTATAATTAATTTTCAATTACTGCAGAGATTCCTAATGAGGTGGGCCATAATTTTTTCAGCTACTCTACTGTAGTTGGGTTTTGGTGCTTTCCACTTTTTCACTATTATAACAATATATTTTTATTGATTTCAGAGAGGAAGGGAGAGGGAGAGATAGAAACATCAATGATGAGAGAGAATCACCCATCGGTTGCCTTCTGCATGCCCCCCACTGGAGATTGAACCTGCAACTTGGGCATGTGCCCTTCGCTGGAATTGAACCCAGGACCCTTCAGTCCACAGGCCAATCCTCTATCCAGTGAAGCAAACTGGATAGGACAACTTTTTCACTATTATAAGAAAACTAGAGGCCCAATGCACGAAAATTCGTGCAAGAGTAAGCCTTCCTCCCCCTGACTGCTGGCACGAGCTTCCCTCCGGCCCCAAATTAGCATATTATCCTTTTATTATTATAGATGCCCCTGAGCATCGTTCTCCAAAGAGCTCTTGAACTCTGCTGAGTCCAAAAGTAAATTCCCAGGGGCCAGAGATTAAGTTTTGAGAGGCAATGTAGCAGAAAGGCCATGCTGGAATTCTGGCTCCTTTTCCCAGTGGGGCGTGGTTCGCAACTCAGTGTTTTCAACTGTGTTTCAAGGCATATTTGTGGATCAATCCTCTTAGTCAGCATTTAAAAAAAAAAGGTAGGCTCTTCCTTCCAAGAGCATGCCCCTGTCCTTCCCTTTCCCTTTCCCCTCCTCCACTCCCTCCCTGAGGGGGGAAAAAAAGGGGAAGTACAAGAGAATACATTAAGTTCAGAATTGTTGGGTTAATTACTTAAATAAATGCATGTGTGTATTGAGCTGTGATGAAAAAGGTACTCTTTTACTCTGGGTTGCAGGCAAACACGTTGAGCAAATGCTCCTTTAATATTTCTTGGTCCCCTAACCCCTACCTGGAAGATGGGGCAGTAAAATGGATTCTTAAGATTGTTGTGAGCATGTGTTCACCCATGATGATCTATTTTCATCTCCATTGCCACCATGTTAGTCCTACGCACTATTATCTCTTGCTGGACAATTGCAATGCCCCCCCCCCCCAACCAGCTGCCCCCTCTCTACCGTCCTGCTACAATTCATTCTCAAACCCTAAGAATAATCATTTAAAAACCTAATTCAGACTGTATCATTCCTCTGCTTAAATTCTTGCAATGGCTTTCTATTCCCTTACCTACCGTGAGTGAAAAGGGGCCACATGCCAACCTGACTAACTCAGGGAAGGCCTGTGTGGCAGCCTTGCAAACTCAGAGATCTAAAGTAACCACAAGTGATGGTCTGAAATTAAAACTTTAAATTAAAAAGCAGTTTAGCCGTGGCTGGTTTGGCTCAGTGGGTAGAGCGTTGGCCTGCAGACTGAAGGGTCCCAGTTTTGATTCTGGTCAAGGGCACATGCCTGGGTTGCAGGTTCAATCCCCAGTAGGGGGCGTGCAGGAGGCTGCTAATCAATGACTCTCTCTTTTTTTTTAAAAAATATATTTTATTGATTTTTCACAGAGAGGAAGGGAGAGGGATAGAGAGCTAGAAACATCGATGAGAGAGAAACATCGACCAGCTGCCTCCTGCACACCTCCCACTGGGGATGTGCCCGCAACCGAGGTACGTGCCCTTGACCAGAATCGAACCTGGGACCCCTCAGTCCACAGGCAGACGCTCTATCCACCGAGCCAAACCGGTTTCGGCACAATGACTCTCTCTTATCATTGATGTTTCTATCTCTCTCTCTCTCCCTTCCTTTCTGAAATTAATAAAATTACATATTTCAAAAAAGCAGTTTATAGTGGGTAGTCATGTCCTAGGTTGGTATTTTCCCTGACAGAGATCAACTTTGATCTTAACTGAGCTTATTTAGTCTTTTTAAAAAATTCTTTAAAGAATTATGTCTCCTTCCTCCCCCCACCCCCCAATTCCTACCCCTCAGGACAAGCTCCCACCGCCCAGTGTTTGTGTCTATTAGTTATGCCAATATGCATGCATACAAGTCCTTTGGTTGATCTCTTACCCTCCCCCGCTTCCCAACCTTCTCTCTGAGTTTGGAGGGTCTGTTCAGTGCTTCTATGTCTCTGGATCTATTTTGTTCATCAGTTTATGTTGATCATTATATCCCACGTATGAGTGAGATCATGTGATATTTATCTTTCTCCTACTGGCTTATTTCGCTTAGTATAATGCTCTCCAGGTCCATCCATGCTGTTGCAAATGGTAAAAGTTCCTTCTTTTTTATAGCAGTGTAGTATTCCATTGTGTAGCTGTACCGGTTTTTTAATCCACTCACCTGCTGATGGGCACTTAGGCTATTTACAAATCTTAGCTATTATAAATTTGCTGCTATGAACATAGGGGTGCATATGTCCTTTCTGATTGGTGTTTCTGGTTTCTTGGGCTATACTCCCAGAAGTGGGATTTCTGGGTCGAGTGGGAGTTCCATTTTTAATTTTTTTGCATATATATAACATACCTTTGGAATGTCACCAGTAACTTGTACCTTCCCTTTTCCAGACCCCTTAGGGCACAATCAATGCGCAAATTCCCTCAATGTTACTGTTATCCTTAATTGTGAACTGTGAACTATCCTATACCCACCTGTGTAAAAGAAGCATGTGTCTATCATTTTTTTCCAATCCCAGAGGTTTTCCCGCTTTGCTTTCTACCACTTCCCTAATCTATCACCAATGGATTTCACGTAACCCACTTACTCTCCTCCTTTGATGGTAATTTATAAAAATAGGTGAAAAACTGCCATTTTCCGGAGCATTATCTCAATACGTTGAGATTCTGTTTCCCAGCAGTTGTTGACAGTTTGGCTCAACTAAACTCATAAAGATTCTTTACAGGTTTGAATGTTTCTTATCCTAACACTACTTAAGAGTTAGGTTGAAAAGTCCAAACTCCTTACACAATGGCTTGCAAGGCTCTCCACCCAACTCTTTTTTATTTTTAAATTTTATTGTTGAAAGTGTTACATAAGTCCCCCTTTCCCCGCCCCCCCCCATCATCTCCATTAACCCCACCACCCCCAACCTCCGCCCCAGGCACTCACCTCCCCACTGTCTGCATACATGGATTATGCACATATGCACAGGTCTTTGGTTGATTACCTCCACCCACCCACCCAGCCCCACCTTCCCTCTGAGATTCAGCACTCTTGTTCCAAGCTTCCATGTCTCTGGATCCACTCCCTTCATCAGCTTATTTTGTTCATTAGACTCCACATGAGTGACATCATGTGATACTTGTCTTTCTCTGACTGACTTATTTTCACTTAGTATGATACGCTCCAGGTCCTTCCATGCTGTCTCAAAGGGTAAGAGACTCTTCTTTTCTACTGCTGCATAGTATTCCATGATATAAATGTACCACAGCTTTTTATCCACTCATCTGCTGATGGGCACTTGGGCTGTTTCCAGATCTTAGTCTATTTTGTCAGACATGAGTATTGCTATTCGTTTTGTTTTTCCCCCCACTTCCACCCAACTCTTGATCTCTACTACCCTTTTCTCACTCACCCTCTCCCTCCAGCCAATCCCTCTAGGCAGGGCCTTTTGCACTGTTCCTTTCCTGCAGATCTTCGCCGCTGTCTCCTTATCATCCTGGTCTCAGCTCCTAAGAGAGGCCCGCTGGGACTGCCCATCTCCCCGTCCCCACGCTTTGGCCCATTCCTCTTTTCCTTTCTCAGCTCCTAGCGCTGTCTGGCGTCGCCTCATCTCCAGCCTTCCCTGTTTACTGTCTGGCTTTCCGGCAGAGGTGTGAGCCCGAGAGGGCGGGGAGGCGTCCTAATCATCCCGCTGGACCCCAGGACGGACGGACCACCACGTGTCTCCACGGAGGTTCCAGTCCGCCTCCCGGCTCCCGGCCCCGCGCCGGCGCCTGTGTTTATGTTCCGGGTCGGGGGGCGGGGCCACAGCGGCGACGCTCCACTTCCGGGGCGGGGCGGGAGGACGGACCGGCGGGGCGGGGCGGGGCGCGCGGTGGCCCGGCCTGTCTGGAGCTCCGCGGCGGCAGGAGCGGCAAGGCGCAGGCACCGGCCCGGAGAGCGGCACCATGAGCGGTGAGTGGCGGCTTCGCCGCTGTCACCCGCCCCGCCCGGCCCGGCTCCCGCCACTTCAGCTGCACACTTCGCCCCTAGTCCCCGCGTCCCGCTCCCAGACCCGCGTCCCAGCGCTCCGTTTCCTGACCCCGTGTAACCAACCCCGTTCCTGTCCTGGTCACCTGCAGTTCTCGGGCGTCCCGCGCCCAGGCACTCCTAGTCCCCTGACTCCTTGACCATCACTTAAAAGCAGCCCTCCGACACCTGTACCCCCGTCCGCCAGCCCTTCCCAGCCCTCCGACCCTGTGCCCAGTTACCGGACCCCCAGTTCTCAGACCTCCTGTGTCTCAGCACCAACTCACTCGTAGACTTCCTGAGTCCCAGTCCCAGCTCAGGCTCCCCCTGCGCCCCAGTCACCCGCGCACTCAGGCCCTCGGTCTCCAGCCTCTCCAGCCTCCACACAGGCTGAGCGTCCTCTCCAAACACGTAGTTTGCTGACCCCTGCACCCCGTGTCCCCGAAGCTCCAGGTCCGCAGAGGACTGGGAATTCTCCAGCCTCTTTGTTTTCCCGGCCCCTCTTATTCCCCTGCCCCCGGTGCTTTGCTGTTCCAGTCACCAGCTGTCCCCAGTTACTTTGTTTCCCACTTTGGTCCTTGGTTCTTACCTTTTTTTTTTTTTTTTTTAATACTCCAGCCCTTTCATTTTCTTAGATCATTTGAAATCTCCCTTGTCCTGCCCTGCAAGCCGTCCCTTGTGCAATGTTGAGCCCGTCTGGGGACCATTGCTTGCCCTGCCCAGTCCACCCCTCTCCCTCCCACAAGAGGAGGAGGCTGGTTTTGGTGGGGAGGTTGAGAGGGGGAGGCAGTTTCCTGGGAGATAGTCCTCAGTGTTTCTGAAGTTTAGTCCTGAGACTTGGCCGGGGATTCTCAGTGGTTTCCTCTGTTATTGTTTTGGTGCTAAGTCATTCCTGGGTGTTGCATGTGGAGATGGGAGTGGCTCAGGGAAGTCTCTCAGCTCACCCTGACTGGGATCTGGATTCACTTAGGAGGACTCGCCTACCCTCCTTCTGCCTGGTTTCTCTTCACTGAAAAGTCCAGCCCTAGCCCTAGCGCTAGCCCCTTCACCCAGGCATTTTCTGGACATCGAGAGTGGGCAAGGCTAAGGCAATATATCTCTTTTCATTTTTAACTTTTAAATGATCTCTGTGGATTGTTTTCCAAGTTAGGTGCTTTTGTTTTTGTTAATTCAAGAGTACGATTTGTGAAATTGATGGTCCTGATGAGGGAACTGGGGAGGGGCGGGGGGGAGGGAGGATTTCCTGGGAGACAGTCCATTTTCTGTGTCCAGAGTGAATGAATTTTGGTTTTATTAAACTTTCTGGTCCTTGAACATCAGTAATACCACAACACAGATGTGATGAGCTGGTGTCCACCCAGGAGGTAATATAGTCGGGAGTAAGTGCAGGCCCTGGAACTAGACAGCCTGGGCTCAAATCCTGGTCCTGCCACATAAAGCTGTGTGATTTAAATAGAGTAAGTTGCTTGATCATTCTGGAAATCCTAGCAAAATGGGGATACATAATGGTACCTGTCTCTAGGCTTGTTGCAATGACCAAATAACATTACTCAGGTGACGTGATTGGTACTGTGCCTCTCCATGGTATGTAGTCAGGAAATTAGAGTTGTTATTGTTGTTTCCATAAGGACATGGGGCTCAGGTGGGGTTGCTTTGTGGCCCAGTTCTGGGCCCTAAAAAGCTCTTCCCTTTATTGTGACCAAGGAGGCTCTGTCTCAGGCTCACAGTTCTGCCTTCCTCCGAGGAGTAAGTGAAATTGACAAGCCAGGGGGAAATGAATCAATGTATCTTTTAAGGAGCAACTTAATATCAAAGATCAGTTTTAACATTTAATTAAAAAATAATTAGGTCTAAGGCCAAACTAAAGGAAACTAACAAATGTGTTTTTTTTTGTTTTGTTTTTTTAAAGGAAAAAGCATTAAGAATGAAAGCCTTCTTTTGGAAAGATTGTAATTGAGGCAGAAAAAGTGGTTGCTGAGGATGGCAGGGGAAGTCCAAGGTATTTTCAATCGTTTCTTTTTTTAAAGTAAAACTATTTCCTCAAATTGTAAATAATACACATACAGGTTTCCATCAATCATTTCTTGAGACTACAGTTGAAATAGGGTTTTCCCACCTGTAGGATTGATAATTGGCACACAACAAAATAATATGACATGTATATATTTTCTTTCTTCTGTTCTTTTTATTAATAGAAACTTTTAAACATCAGGGAAGTGGGCAGAATAGTTTCATGAGCAATTATTAACTCATGACCACTTCACCTATTTACTTTCTACCTCTCTCCCCAGTTTGTTTTGAAGCAAATCCTATAAATGGTATCATTTCACCAGTAAATATTTTAATATGTATCTCTAAAATACAGGTACTCTGCCTTAGCTGGTTTGCTCAGTGGATAGAGCATCGGCCTGCAGATTGTCCGGCAAGGGCACATGCCTGGGTTGTGGGCTTGATCCCCAGTAGGGGGCGTGCAGGAGGCAGCTGATCAGTGATTCTCTCTCATCATTGATGTTTTTATCTCTCTCTCTCCTTCTCCTTCTCGGTCTGAAATCAATAAAAATATATTAAGAAAAATCCAAAAAAATACAGGTACTCCTTTAAAAACACAATTCCATTTCCATATCTATGAGAAATTAGTAATAATTCATTAATATCAGATACTCAATGTTCAAATTTCCATACTTGCTTTGTAATTTTATTTTATAGAATTATATTAAATATTTTTTAAAACCCAGGATCTAAATAAGGTTTGAACAATGCAAATTGGTTTGTCTTGTAAATCTTTTAGGTCTCTAATTTTTTAAAAAAAATATATTTTATTGATTTTTTAGAGAGGAAGGGAGAGGGATAGAGAGTTAGAAACATCGATCAGCTGCCTCCTGCACACCTACTACTGGGGATGTGCCCGCAACCAAGGTACATGCCCTAGACCGGAATCGAACCTGGGACCCCCCAGTCCGCAGGCCGACGCTCTATCCACTGAGCCAAACCATTTAGGGCTCTCTCTAATTTTTAAGTTTGTTATATTTTTAGTGTTCAGTATATTCACAGAATTCTGCAAACATCATCATAATCAATTTTAGAACATTTTCATTCTTCATTCTCCCTCCCTGAAGCCCCAGGCAATCACTAATCTATTTTCTCTCTCTGAATTTCCTATTCTGTATATTTCATATAAATTAACCATACAACATGTGGCCTTTTGTGTCTGGCTGTTTGCATGAAGTATGTTTTCAAGGTTCATAATGTAGCATAATATCTGTACTTCATTTCTTTTTGTGGCTGAATAATATTCCATTATATGAATATGACAGTTTTTTTGTGTGTGCATTAAAAGGAGAGACTATTCAGGTGAGTAGTTTGCAAACCAGAGAAGTGCAGCCATGGCCAGAAACTGAAAGTGCATTCCACTGAGACAAAGGGGAGGCCCACTTATATAAAATGCCCACAATGGTCACTGATTGGTCCATTTTTAAGCAAATGAGGAATCCAAATTTGCAGTTTAATTGGTCCAAATAGCACTGTCCTAATAGGTCGGAATTGCACATCCTGGTTGGTTGTTATGGATCTACTGATTGATTGGTCAGTAAAGGTGCAAATAAGGCTATAGCTGTGCAGCTCTAATTGGATGGGGCAGGTATCGGCCCATTGGCCAAAGTATACCATCCCAGGAACTCCTTTATAAGTCCAGCTCTGCTGACAGACACACAGTGCAGGAGGCTGGCTCCTCAGTCTGTGGCTTTTCCCTGAGATGCAAGACACATGTATGGCCTCTGTCAGGAACGGCTGCTAGACTCTGGTTCTGAATTTGGACCCAATTAATTGCTAGGAAGTCCTTTTTGGCAGGTATATTCCTTCTCGGGGTCAACAGTTATAATACAAATAGTGAATATTTATTGAGTGCTTAGTCTGTCAGGCACTAAGCTTCATCTGGATTACATTTTTAAATCCTTTCAGAAACATTATGAGGTAGTTATATTGTAATCCATTGCTTACAAATGATAAAACTGGAGCATAGAAAGGTGAATAACTTGCCAAAATTTACACATCCAGCATTTAAAAAGGAGTGTCATGTAGGTGTCAGGGAAGCAGTAGGCAGAGATGTCCCATGCAAGTGTGGGTCACGTAAAACAGCAGCAGAGCTCTGTGGACTTTAGGTCTTAAATCCAGGTATGTACAGAGCTTTCAAGCCTGCTGGCGAGAGCGGCACGGTTTATTACATCGTTAGGAAGGTTTAGAGCAGCGGTTGTCAACCTGTGGGTCGCGACCCCTTTGGGGGTCAGACGACCCTTTCACAGGGGTCGCCTAAGACCATCGGAAAACACATATATAATTACATATTGTTTTGGTGATTAATCACTATGCTTTAATGATGTTCAATTTGTAACAATGAAACTGGGGGCCACCACAACATGAGGAACTGTATTAAAGGGTCGCGGCATTAGGAAGGTTGAGAACCACTGGTTTAGAGCCATCTGAAAGAGAATAAGTAAGAGGATGGACTAGTAACCAGGAAGAGGTAAAGAAACCGAAGGGAAAGCAATAGCTTAAAAAACCTGTTAAGTTTCCTCTTAGGATGCGTCCGCACCACAGGTCAGTATTTGTTCCAAAACACCTTGAGTGGAGACCGGAAGAAAAGCATTTCCCAGTGTTCACCTGCTCCACAGGATGTGGCCAGCGAACTGGAAAACTTGCACATAGCAAGGATTAGACTAGCTCGACCACGCTGTGAATCTCCTGATGGCAGATGAGGTTATAGTGTCGATGAAGGCTTTCCACATTTACTGCACTGGGGAGGCCGCTTCCCGTAGGGCTTCTCTGGTGCTCCATGCGGAAGGAGTGAGGAGCACCGAGGAGCACCGACCGTAACTCTTCCAGCACTGGCTGCACTGATGAGGCTTCTCTCCCCTGTGGGTCCTCTGGTGCTGGATGAGGCTGGCACTCTGACTGAAGGCCTTCCCACGCTCCTCACAGTGGTCCGATTCCTTGGTGATTAAAAAGGCCAGCACTCTGCCAGAAGGTTTTCCCACACTCATTACCTTCACAGGGTCTTTCTCCGGTGTGAATTCTTTGATGTTGAATGAGACCTGAGCTCTGAGTGAAGCTCTTCCCACATTCATCACATTCGTGTTGTCTTTCTCCTACGGGGTTTCCCCAGGGCCCTTCTGTCGGAGCCTTTTGCTCATCAGCTTCTCCATGCTGGGCATCCTGGTGTGACACCTCCCAGCTCTCTCCATAAAATATTCTCCTATGTCACTCCACTATCTCAGGACTGTTTCCTTTGCAGCACTCTCCTTCCTCAGTCCTGGTCAGTCTATCTGTCTCTCCAACAGGGCGGGACTCCTGAGCCTGGCTCCCATGTGAGCTGGGGCTTCTTAGGCAGGAACTGAAGGCTCAAGTGATGCCTGCTCCCCTGGAGCCACTGTCTCTCTTCTTTTTATTAAATATATTTTTATTGATTTCACAGAGGAAGGGAGAGGGAGAGAGAGAGACTGAAACATCAGTGATGAGAGAGAATCATGATTGGCTGCCTCCTTCACGCCCCCTATTGGGGATCAAGCCCACAACCCGGGCATGTGCCCTGATGGCAAATCGAACTGGAGAATTGAACCGTGACCTTGTTCATAGGTCGACACTCAACCATTGAGCCACCACGCCGGGTGTCAGTGTCTGTGTCTGCAGGCTGCCATTTCATGCTGCAGTTCATTGAGCTCTTTCTCGAGGTCCTCCAGCAAAATCATCGCCTGCTCCCCACTCAGGGGGTGCTGCTCTGGCACCCAGGCCTTGGATATGTCACATGTTGCTTATTCCTTCATGAGTTGATGGGCATTTTGAAGAATGCTGCAGTGAACACTCGCGTACAAGGTTTTGTGTGGTATATGTTTTCGTTTTCCTTGGGTGTACACCTAAGAGTGGAACTACTGGGTCCATTTGAGGAACTGTCAGACTTTTCCAAGGCGGCTGCACTATTCTCCTTTCCCACCAGCACTGCGTGAAGGTTCTGGTTTCTGCACAGTCTGCCATTCTCGTGGCTGTGAAGTGGTGTCTGTTTGTGGTTTTGATTTGCATTTCCCTAATGACTAATGGCGTTGAACATTGCTTCATGTGCTTATTGGCCACTTGTATATCTTCTTTGGAGAAATGTCTGGTGAGAGTCTTTGCCCATTTTTAATAGGTTGTTTTCCTTTCTGTTGAGCTATAAGAATTCTGTATAATCTGGATATAGGTCTTTTATCAGATATGTTGTTTATAAACATTCCCCCCCCCCCTTTTATGGGTTGTTTATTCCCTTTCCTGATGGTATCCTTTGAAGCACAGTCTTTTTTTTTTAAACTACAGATTCCCCTTTCATATCTCTCTCTTTCACCCCTTGCAATTTTTGTTGAAGGAAGCATTTTATCCTGTAAGGTTTCTTTGCAGGATTTTGCTGATTACACCTTTTGGTGTGGTTTGATGTGTTTCCTCAGTCTCTTGTATATCCTATAAAGTGGCAATTAGAATCTGCTGTATTTTGAGTTAGGAATGTTTGAGTGGAGTTTGAAGTCAGATAGGTTCAAGGACAAATACATTAAGTGCAAATAACCAGGAAGTGGAATGGCTCTAGGAAATGCATACACAAAATAAATGGGTATCATGAGGCCAGAAACAAATAAGATGACCATTAATTGGGGATGTGGATAAATGTATGTGGTATGATCACAAGATGGAAAACCTCAGAGACGTCAAAAGGAAAAAAATGGACTTATACACATCATTAACATTAACTTTTTCTAAAGAAAAGGAGAGTGCAGAATTACCCCTAAAATATATACCTTGATGCACATCAATACATGCACAGAAAACTGTTTTTGGATTTATATGTGTATGTAGAAGTAAGAAAATTGTTAGGGTGATAGTGGCCATTATTTATTTGTTTTTCTGTAAAAAATAGTAGGGAAGAATACTTGATTACCAGCCTCTGCTAGCTAAGGAATTTGATTTTCAGATAATACTTTCGCT